GGAATGTTCTGAGGATAGGAGGGCTCAGAGAGTAGTCAGAATGAGGACATCAGGCACATCCGTCCATTCTACAGACATTTATTGAGCACCTGCTATGTGCCAGGCATGGTTCTTGGCACAGAGGACGCAATAGTGAATAAGACAAAAATCCCTCCTCTGTAGGAGCTGCCATTCTAGTTGGGGGGGGGGGGGAGACAGGAAAAAAAGCAGGTAAAAAAGTAAATAAAGAAGGGACCTGGAGATGGGAAGAAGTGCTGGGTGCTATAAATAAATGAGGGGGGGGTGGCATGGTAGAATCGGGGGGGGAGCTCTTGGAGGAGGTGACTTTGGAGACAGGATCTAAGGACAAAAAGAAGGTAGCCTCGCGAAGATCAGGCAAGGGGCTCAGCCCCATTAAGGACTCTGACACTAGATGGAGCTTGGAATAGTGTGGCTGAGCCACCAGCTGCAGCTAAAGTGTCAATTCTGCAGGGGTCTGTGGCTCATATTAAGGAGTTTGGAGCTTTTCCTCTGTAAGGTGGGAAACTGTTGTAAGTTTTGAAGCTGGGGAGTGACACGATCTGGTTTACATTTTAAAATAGAGACACGAAGTGAAATAGCAGCCTAAGACTGAAAGACAAGAGTTCTGCCAGGGCAACATGTAATTAAGTGCATGGGCCTGAGCCGTCTGGACCACAGGGGCGGTTCCAGCAGACCGAGGCAAGCCAGGGAGGCTGCCTGGAGGAGGTGGCCTAGGCTAGACCTCCGCAGGCAGAGTGGAGTGGACTGGGAGGTTTCTGGGCCGGGCCAGGCAGGGGAGGAGGCCATAATAATAATGACAATAATAGTAACAGTTTCCTTAAATCAAATGTCAGGCAAAATGCTAATCAGGTTGTTTGCATAATCTCTTTGGATTCCTGTACAGGAATTCTGCTGGTTTTTTTTGAATGAGAAAACTGAGGCCCCATCACATGAAGTGACTTGCCCACGGCTACACAGCTGGTAAGTGGCAAGGGTGGGATTTGAACTCAGGCTGCCCTGCCTCTTCTAGCCTGGAAGGCAAATTCATTAATCATTTACTTTCCTCACTGCCATTATTCCCCCCTCGCCGGTGAGGATATGGAAACTCACCTGAACCAGGGCAGCAAGCCTAGGCAGAGTAATGAGATTGGGAATTGGTGATCAGGATCCGGGGCCCCTGGGTCAAGGAGGAAGTTTGAATCTTGTCAACTGACTGAAAGGTGGTACAGATGGAAATAGTAGTTAAAAAAAAGATCACCATTTATGGAACCCTTCTCATGTGCCAGGAACTGTTCCAGGCACATGTATGATTACCTTGGAGCTCAGAGAAGTCAAGACACACCCAAGGTCACACCGCTAGTAAGTGGAGAGGTCAGGTTCCAGACTCATGTTCACAGCATCCTGCTGAGATGTGTGAGGGGCCGCAGGAAGAGAACCAGAGGAGGTGGTGATAAGGGGTTTGGGATTTTTTTGTTTTAATCTTTTTTTTTTTTAAGATTTTATTTATTTGATAGAAGATACAGCGAGAGAGGGAACACAAGCAAGGGGAGTGGGAAAGGGAGAAGCAGGCTTCCCACTGAGCAGGGAGCCAGATGTGGGGCTTGATCCCAGGACCCTGAGATCATGATCTGAGCTGAATGAAGGAAGATGCTTAACAACTGAGCCACCCAGACACCCCTCGTTTTAATCTTTTTAAGCATCACTGAGTGTGATGAAATAATCTGAGGGGACAGCATTGGTTTATTCATTCAGAATTTGCTTTTTGTCAAATATTCAGCAAATTCCTACCATGATGGGTGCTGTGGATAGACAGATGAAGTAACCAATAAAATACTAGTATCCCAAATATATAAAGAGTTTCCACAAATCAATAAGAAAAGAAAGACAGGCATTACAATAAAAAACAAACAAACTGCAATTTTTAAAAATGGGCAAAGACTTAAATAGGCAATTCACAAAAGGACACATCCAAGCAGTTAATAAATGTCTTAAAAGTTGTTAAATATGGAGCCTGGGTGGCTCAGTCGGTTAAACATCCGACTCTTGATGTCGGCTCAGGTCATGATCTCTGTTGCGAGATCAAGCCCCTCAGTGGGCTCTGCACTAGTTGTGGAGCCTGCTTAAGATTCAAGTCTCTCCCTCTCCCTCTCCCTCTGCCCTTCCCTGCCACCACCCATTACAAAAAAAATGTTGTTATGCATCCTTGATTATGAAGGGATTGAAAACAAAACCACAGTGAAAAGTGAGGGAGATATTCTGTGTCTGTTTGGCTGGATGGAGCACCTGCCTTGTCCCTAGCACTGTGCTGGGAGGCAAAGGATGAGGACCACAGAGGTGGGGCTTGCGCTTTTGCGGGCAAGACAAGACTCCCTCGGGGCAGGGCCTCCAGCCTGTGCTCCTCTGCCTCCCCAGAGCCAGGCACAGGGACTGGTGGGCTAAGGAATATTAGGATCACTCATCCATTCATTCGTTCAGCAAATATTTATCGAGCACCTGCTACTCACCGGGCACTGTTCTCTGCACTGAGAGTATAGGAATGAAAAAGGCAGACAAAATTTCTTGCCCTTTGAGAAAACAGTGAACAAGAACAGTGGATGAAATGAGTTGTGGGAGGTGCCAGAGGGCAGAGTCAGGTGTAGAATCCCTGAGTCTGGGCTGCACCAGGGATGCCAAAGGAACAGGGGAAAGGCCTGTGTGCCTGGGAGGTATGAGCAAGGCAGAGAGTGGGAGGAGAGGAGGGGAGGGCAGTGATGGAGAGCAGATTTTGGGAGGTCTGTGGGTCGAGGGAAGGATGTTGGCTTTTACTTTGAAGGAAGCGGGAGCCCCGGGTTGGGGGGGGTGGTCAGAGCAGACGACAGGTGTGATGTGACATATGTTTTACAGGATCATTCTGGCTGCTGTGTTGACATAGACCGTGGAGAGTGAGGGCAGAAGCCGGCAGACTTGGAGGAGGCGACTGCACTAGTGTAGGTGAGAGATGCTGGGGTTGGAGCAGGGGCGACTGGAGGAGGTGTTGAAGAACAGATGAATGAATGCAGGTGCAAACAAATAGAGGCACGAGAGTGGGTGCAGCCAACTGGGCTTGGCTGAATCCAGGATGGCTCCCTGGAGGAAGAGATTTTAAGGGAGGGAGCCAGAAGTCCTCTTTACACAGAAAAATGTGGCATAAGGAGATCCTTACCACAGCCTGGCCAGGTGGGTGGAATGTCCCCCCTTGCAGAGCAGACATCCCAAGCCCAGGGTGGATGGAGTTGCTTAGGGAGCCATGCTGCGTGGGTGTCAGGCAGACCAGAGTGTGCAGCCGGCTTCTGTGACTATGGACGTGGTACTCAAAAATGAAATCTGAGCTCTTTCCCAGTCTGGAAGGCCTGCAGAGTCGACCCCTCCCACCCCCTGTCGCCTCTTGTAGAACCCCTCTTCTGTCTCCCATTGCTTGCTGCACTCTGGTTACACTGGGCTCCTGCTGTTCTGTAAGCCCGAGTCTGCTCAGAGCCCTCCCATGGCCACCACCTCACCTCACACAGAGCAAAGGCCTAAATCCTCCCTGGGCGCAGGAGGCCCTGCTAGCTCTGCCCCATCCCCTCCCCGCCCTCACCTCCTCCTGCTGTCCCCCTTAGCACTCTGTTCCAGCCACACAGGCCTCCCAGCTCTTCTTCAAACACACCAAGCACGTCCCCACTTCAGGGCCTTTGTACTGGCCGTTCCCTCTGCCTGGAGCCGACCTGCTCACATCCTCATGTGGATACTGCTTCCTGTTACTCAGGTCTCAGGTTCAGTTTCACCTGCTCAGAGAGGCCCTCCTTGAACTTGGGTGTAGAAGAACTTGCCTTGTTTTATTGTCTTCATAGCACAATTAGGAATTATATTAGACTTTCACACATGTGCTTGCTCACTGTGTGTCTTCTCTGGACTATATGTTCTGGACAGCTGGACAGAGCCCCAGCTAGCATACATGGCATCTAGAAGGGAATTGGAAGGAGGCAGCCCTTCCCCCTGGCAAACACATCAGCTTGACAAGCAGAGCACAGGCTGAATGAATTTCAGTCCCACTTGCAACCCTGGTCTGGTGCTTTTACACAGTGAACAACCTGTGTAACTGCACATAGTGGCCCTGGTCAGGGAACTTGGTTATCTTACTGAAGGCAAGAGCTGCAGTGCTGCATGGAGTATAGTAAGTATGCAAAAAATATTTGTTTGAAAGGAGGGAGGAAGAAAAAAGGGAGAGTGGAGGTAAAGGAAAGAAAAAGACTGTATCGGTCAGGACAAGTTTTGCAACAGTAACAAAGAATCCCCCAAATCTTAGTGGCTGAACTCCACAAAGGTTTATTTTTTTTGTTCCTGCTACATCATCATAGCTCAGCAGGAGGTTCCATTCATTATAGTCACTCAGGGCCTGGCCAATGGAGTCACTACCACATCAAATGCACCCTGCCCAGGAAATAGAGAACCCCGGCATCTCTCACTCCAGTGAGCAAATGCTTTCAGCCCAGAAATGTCATGGGTCACTTCCTCTCACAACTCATTGGGCAGAACTATAGTCATATGCCCACCCAGTCACACAGAGGTCAGCAAGTGTCACCTGCCTGTGTGCTTTGAAGGGAGAGTCAGTTTTTTTGTGCACAGCACTAGTGACCATCGGTGCCAATAGAAAAATAAAGGGGAATGTAACCACTCCGAGCCTCCATTTTCTCATCTGCTAAATGGGCATCCTCGTAACATAATATTGTCCCCACATCACGATGTGGTGTGAGGATGAAGGAAGGTCACAGCGCAGTTTGCTTGGGGTCTTAGCAGGTATTAGCTGCTCATATTACTTCTCTACAAGGTGTGTAAGTGCTGGGCCCCGGTTTTGAACCAAGGCCAGTCTATTCTCTAAATATTTCCTAAGGCCAGTAGGGGGCTAACAGTGTGGGAGAGGCAACCTGAGGCCACTGCCCAGGCCCTGAGTGCATTTTCCTGCCCTGCAGATCTCCTGAGCGAGCTCACGCTTCTCGCTGCTCATGCCGCTGGGACTGGGGCGGCGGAAAAAGGCGCCGCCTCTGGTGGAAAATGAGGCTGAGCCAGGCCGTGGGGGGCTGGGCGTGGGGGAGCCGGGGCCCCTGGGTGGGGGTGGGGCAGGGGGGCCCCAAATGGGCCTGCCACCCCCTCCCCCGGCCCTGCGGCCCCGCCTCGTGTTCCACACCCAGCTGGCCCACGGCAGTCCCACGGGTCGCATTGAGGGCTTCACCAACGTCAAGGAGCTGTATGGAAAGATCGCCGAGGCCTTCCGGCTGCCAGCTGCCGAGGTACCCACTGGGGAGCTGGGCGCCAGGGTCCCTGATGGTGGGCTGAGGCCTGGGCATGCCTCCTCCTCGTGAGCTGTGGCTCAGATGCTGAAGTTCCATACACCGAGGGCTGCTCCCTAGTGGATCGTGAGAGCTGGTGGCCACACTGGATGCCAAGTTCCCATCAGTCATTAGGATGCCTGCACTCCAGTGAACTATGGAAAGCTGGAGATTAGGGCTGAGTGCTGAGTTCCCATTAGGCACTGGGAGGCCTATGCCCCGTGGACAGCAGAAATGGGTGGCCAGGGCTGGATGCGACATTCCTATCATGCATTAGGAGGCTTACGCCCCAGTTGATTATGGGATCTGAATGTCAGATGTGAGGTTGATTTCTCTGTGATGCATTGGGAGGCCTTACCCCAAGGACTTGGGAGCTGAAGGAAGGGAGGCAAGAAAAGCAACAGTAGGACTGAGCAGGAAGTAGATGCAGGTGTCCTAGTAGGTGTGGTGGGTATCCTGTGCCCCTTTATTTGTTCCACAAGCCCTTACTGAGCACCCACTGTGTGCCAGACTCTGTGCCCTGGGAGCTGCAGGGAGTTTTTGCTAGAACAGAAATCCCAGCCCTAGCAGAGCTGCCTCCTGGAGGGGGGTACTCTGGGGTGGTCAGGCACTGGGGTGGGGACCCACAGCCCTTTCCCAGCTCCCTCCTTGCCCCGCAGGTGGTGGTTAGCAAAGGGTGAGAGAGGGAGGTAAGGGTTGAGTGTCTCCCGCCCATGCAGGTGATGTTCTGTACCCTCAACACCCACAAAGTGGACATGGACAAGCTCTTGGGGGGCCAGATCGGGCTGGAGGACTTCATCTTTGCCCACGTCAAGGGGCAGCGCAAGGAGGTAGAGGTGTTCAAGTCAGAGGAGGCGCTGGGGCTCACCATCACTGACAACGGGGCCGGCTATGCCTTCATCAAGGTGCTTGGGGGGATGGGGCCCCCGGAGTCCTGAGGGTGAGGATGGGCTGTGGGAGTGAAGGCCAGAGCCCTGGGGGCTGACAGCTGCTCTCCCCGCAGCGTATTAAGGAGGGAAGCGTGATCGACCATATCCAGCTCATCAGTGTGGGTGACATGATTGAGGCCATCAACGGACAGAGTCTGCTGGGCTGCCGGCACTACGAGGTGGCCCGTCTGCTCAAGGAGCTGCCTCGAGGCCGCACCTTTACACTGAAGCTCACAGAGCCCCGCAAGGCCTTTGGTGAGGGGGCTTCCACCTCGACCTCCGTGGAGGCCCTATTTGCTTGGGTTCAGGCCACAGTGGCAGGGAAGCACCAGCAGGTGGCGCCCAAGGCCAGCCAGCTGCAGTGGAGTGGGGGGATAGCTCCGCCTTGCCCTGGGGAGGGGGTGCTGGCTCTCTGCCCAGCCTGGGAGGAGGGTGAGAATAAGGAGGAAGTTGCCCCCGCACCCAGCTTCCCCGAACCATTAGCCCAGCCAAGTGCCCCCAACCCTGGCAAGCTACCCCCCCAGCCCTGAAAAGCCAGGGTTGGCTGCCCTGTTCCTGAACCCCCACTTTTCTGTCTGACTTCACTAACTCTCTGGAATGGGCCTAAGGCCCCTGAGGTGGGGGTGGGGGACTCTCAAACACTTCCCCAGGCAGATAGGGCTGGTCTTTGACCCAGCAGCTATATCCCCTTGGCCTTGGGGAGAACAGCTTAAGACCCAGACCCCACCCCCTTCCTGTCCCTCAGGCCCTGGGAACAGGGCCCCCTTCTGTCTCCCCTCCAGCCTTTTCCATTCTCAGCCCCTGCCTGTCCGTACCGCCTCCCTCGCTCCCCCCCTCCATGCCAAGCCTGGGTCAGGAGTCCTGCCCTCCTGGGGTCACCTCAGACCCCAAATCCCCAGAGCCTGCAGAAGCTTGGAGAAGGTAGAAGGGGGTATCAGAGGCCAGGCTGCTGGGGATCCTGCCCAAGGTATGCTGGAATTGGGCTTCCCAGACCCTTAACCCTTCCTGCCTTCCACAGACATGATCGGTGTACGCTCAGGGGGTGGCCGCCCAGGCTCTGGCCCCCAGCTGGGCACTGGCCGAGGGACCCTCCGGCTCAGATCCCGTGGCCCTGCCACAGTAGAAGATGTGGTGAGTATTCTAGCCAGGGCCCAGCCCTCCTTCCCCAGGCATCCATAGGTGGCTCTGGGCAATAGATTCAAATCCACCTCTGCCACACACCAGCTCTGGGACATTTGTTGGGCAGGTGGGCCTCAGTTTCCTTGTTTGTAAAGTAGGGGGGATAGTAATACCGTCACAGGTTGTGGTGAGGATGAGCTGTGGGTCAGTATGTGTAAAGTGGTGAAAAGAGCGTCCCGCACTTAATAGGTACGATTATAAATACATTCACATTATTGTGATGTCATTGTCCCTCCCCCTGCCAGCCCTCAGCCTTTGAGGAGAAGGCGATTGAGAAGGTAGATGACCTGCTGGAGAGCTACATGGGCATCAGGGACACGGAGTTGGGTGAGTGGGGACGTCTGGATCTGGGGATGGGTGTGAGCCTGGGGGAAGGGGCTTCTAGGTCATGTGGGGCTGGGTCTAACCTGAGGACTCTGTCATCTGTGCTTCCATTCTGCCCCCCCCACCCTTGTCCAGCGGCCACCATGGTGGAGCTTGGAAAGGACAAAAGGAACCCAGATGAGCTAGCCGAGGCCCTGGACGAACGGCTCGGTGACTTTGCCTTCCCTGATGAGTTCGTCTTTGACGTCTGGGGTGCCATTGGGGATGCCAAGGTCGGCCGCTTCTAGGCCCCCTTCCAGACCTCTCAGTGACCTGGCTCCGCTTGGTGGGCGCCCCCCGTGGGAGGGCCACCATGGCCTGGACCCCAGCATCTGGCTTGGACCTTTGCTCCGCACCCCAAGGATGACACAGAGTGGAGGTGGGCCCGGGCCTCTGCCCCACTCCAATCGGTACCACCCCGCCCCAGTTCCCACCCTGGCTGGGGTGCCCAGTCCCCCCTTGCCATGTTCCCCACCTACCTCAGCTGGGTCAGGCATAGGGGGTGGGGGGAGGGACCAGCCAGATTGGGCGGCCACCCCCGCCCCCAACACTTTCCGCATCAGCTGCCAAACTGGTCTCTCATCTCCCTGGGGCCTGTTTGGGGGTCATGACCTCCCTCGTTTCCTGCTGCAGGGAATGCAGAAGGGGGGCATCCCCCCCCCCCGCAAAAAAAACAATACCCCCCCCCCCCCCCCCGTGCCCCACCCAGAGAGGAGCCCCCTCACCGTGGAGTCTGTTACCTCCGCATTGGAAACACTAGTCTGCTGTGAACCCCGAACCTCCCTCCCTCCCCTGCCCTCTGTGTCTCCCTCAGCCCAGCCTCAGACAAAAGGGGCAGGAGGGAGGATGGCAGTGGGCTTTTGTATCTGAATTTGCTGTCTTGAACATAAAGAATCTATCTGCTGTTGGACCTGTGTGGCGGCTTTAGCTTTGGCTTCGTGGTGGGAGAAGGGGGTGAGCCAAGGCTGGGAAAGAATGTAGCAGCTGAAATCCATCCTCCTCGGGCTCCAAATTGAATTAGGAGCCTGCATGGGCCACCCCCCCAACCCGTTCCGCCTGATGAGGTTTCTGGCTGCGGGCCACCAGGCTTCCAGTCAAAGGCCGGAGCTTCCTGGCCTACTGAGGTTCAAATCTTGCTCCCTCTCCAACAAAGCCTCCCGCCACCTCAGGCCTGATGTGAACAGTGGGTGCAAGGCTGTTATCACCCAGGGCCATAGGGAACACCTGGGCCAGGCTGGGGGGCGGTGCAGAAGCTTGGCTTGGGAAAAGAAAGATGGGGGCCTGGGATGGAGGCCTGCTAAGGCAAATGCTGTGGGGAGGAGCCTTGCACCCAAGACCGAGGGGAGCAGTCATGATGTGGCCCCCGTTCCTGCTGACGCTGGATGTGTGGGGTCTGCTGGCGTCCATGGTGCGCCATGGTCTGCACTGGACATAAACCCAGCGTGCTTGTTTGACAACTTACTTCATCCTTGAGGATTGAGTGGGGATCAGGGAAGGGGGGTGGGCCCCTGGCCAGACCTGGAGGGAAGGGCAGGAATTGAAGCGAGGGGAGCCAGGCCAGAGGTCCTTGCAGGAATGTCTGAGGTCAGCCCGCTCCCCTTTTTCATCCCTCCTTTCAACAGGAGGACCTGCCCGGGAAAGGGGAGCTGGGAGGGATGGCTAGGCTTGGGGTGTGTGTGCAGCCTTCCTGGGGTGGGATGGAGACAGCTGTTGGTAGGGTCCCTCTCGATGTCTCTGTGCTGGTAAACAGCTCAGGTCGTCAAAGGGTGTAGCTGTGTGTCTCGGTGGTTAGGCAGTAAGACTGTGTCTGACAGAGTTTTGGTGGTTTTTGACTCCGTCGAGGGAACAGGATATAATGACTGTCTTCATGTTCCAGGGTGTTTGCGGGTGACCTGCAGCAACCTGTGTGGAGTGTGGCCCTGTAAGGGCAGCTCGGGGGGGTCCCAGGCTGTGAGGGTGTGTGTCTCTGGGTGTTAGGAAACACCTAACACCTTCGTGGGGTAGGTGTTGACCAGCTAGATCTCCAGATGTCCAGGAGGTGGCACTCCTGTATGTGTATGGTGTATGGAGTGTATTCATGGTACTGGTCTTGGACTCTTAGGGGTGTCTGTGGGTGATATGGAGTGTGGCTAGTGGGCTGTCTCAGAGTAGGGATTGTGTGGGTCTCGGTGCTGAGACTGGATCTCCCAGCACTTTCTCACGGGAATGCATTTCAGCATTGTTGAGAGAAATTAAAGCAAGTAACAATGGGGGCACCTCTGGGGGTCATAGAGGTGACACAGTCGCAGTGCATTCAGGTGTATGACAATGGCCAACCCCAAAGCTCTGAGGAACATGGCTACTGCTGAGCCGGAGACTGACTGACTGACGGTATCTGGTCTTAGGGTGTTAAGAGGTATAATGGTGTGTAAGTGTAAGGTGTGTGTGTGTGTGTGTGTGTGTGTGTGCCCTTCCTTCTCAGGGCAGGATGTGAGGCTGCAGTTGTGTGTCTCAGGAGAGAGTCCCCTGGTCACTGGACCTCTTGGTTCCCCTGCCCCTCTTCAGCCTCCTCTCCTGCCCCCCTCCCCCAGGGTATGACTTGCTGCTGGCCCTGGCTGGAGCTCTAAGCCCCTGTGTAAATTGTGGGCGAGTCTCCTGGCCAGGCTGGGCCTGACCCAAGTTGGTCCACGTGAGGCACTGCCCACCACCACTGACCCAGCATCCACGAAGGCTTTGGCAGGGCAAGAGGGTGTTGCGGACCCCAAACAGGGTTAGCCCCCGACCTCACAGTTCCTGTGGGGGCAGAGGCACCCCCTGCAGCCGCCCCAGTGCACCGCCCTGGGCGATGCTCACATTTTCCAGTGTTTAGATTTTATCCGCTTTATTAATGAGGCAGGCGAAAGGCCCACGCCTGGGGGGAGGGGAGGAAGAGGGCTACTCCCGCCCTGCCAGGGGGAGGGGGTCATGGGGAACCAGGCCAACTCCCCAGGAGCCCCCTTCCTGATGGGGCAGCTGGGGTCCAGAGTGGCCCCTGCCCACTGCCAGGAGCACAGAGGGGTCTTTGCCACTGGGGGGGGGGGGGGCCCGCCCTGTGGGGCGAGATGGCTGGAGCGGCCCCTGGAGGCCAGAGCGGGCAGCGGGAGGAGGCAGGGAGCCGAGGAGCCGCCCCAGGAGGGAGGGAGAGGGAGCGGCTGGCCTGCCAGAGAGCTCTAGTGCAGCGGGTGCGGGTGCAGCAGGCGGCAGGGCCAAGCAGCAGGCGATGGGGACCTGGAGTCCCAAGCTGTGTGGGTAAGAAGCATGGGGATCTCTGGTGGGGGAGGAGGGTTTGGAAGATGGGACCATGCCTACTTTAGTCACTCTGTCCTGTGTTCTTGACTCCCAGCCCCATCTGTCTGTCCCTGTCAGTCTTACTGTCTGTCTGCCTTTCCCATGTGGCCAGCAGGCAGTTCTGCCCTTTAAGTCCTCACCTCCAGGTTATCAGGGATGGGTGGTGCTAGGTCCGCGTTGAGGGCTTTGCGGCAGGGACCTAGAGCTGGTGGGAATGGGAACCAGAGGGCATCCATGGTGAGGCAGCTGTGGTCAGGGGCAGAGCCAGGGCGAGACAGTAACAGAACCCTCGGGAGTGTAGGGACAGAGATGTGGCTGTGGGGAAAAGGACAATGAGGTGGGGAGAGATGTGCCCATGGTGGCAGAGGGGGTGCTGTGAACATCAAACATGGGACTGGAGAAGAGGTGATGTGATGGTCGGGGATGGGGCAGTGAGGTCAGGTGGGGCCTTGCGATCAGAAATGGGTCAGCAGGTGTCAGATGGAGCCAGGGGCAAGGAATTCGCTGTGGTGCAAAAATGCGGTGGGTGTCAGAGCTAGATCTGTGACGCCCAGCAGTGGGGACAGACTCGAAGGCCAGAGACCCAGGAACCAAGATGGACAGAGAAGGTGGTGAGGACAAGAATGAGGCCCCAAGCAAGAGATGGGCTGATGAGGCAGAGGAGGTCAAAGGGGTGGGGAATAGGGCAGCCAGGGTCATCTGCAGTGGCGGTGGGCAGAGTCGATAGAAGAATACCGTGGCATCAAATGGGTCTGGTTGATCCGAGGTGGGACTGCCTGCCAGTCCCATAAGGATGGTGGGCAGTGTGCTCCTAGCTGGCCTCACCATGCCCTCTTCTCTCCCCTGCCTCCACCCCAGCACCTGACATGAGTCTCTGCGGGCCCCTCAACCTGAGCCTGGCTGGCGAGGCGACCACATGTGCGGAGCCCGGGGCTCTCAACGCGTCGGCTGGGCCTCCCTCCGGCCGGGCAGGCGCGTCACCAGCGCTGCCCATCTTCTCCATGACCCTGGGCGCCGTGTCCAACGTGCTGGCGCTGGCGCTGCTGGCGCAGGCCGCGGGCCGCCTGCGGCGCCGCCGATCTGCCGCCACCTTCCTGCTGTTCGTCGCCAGCCTTCTGGCCACTGACCTGGCAGGCCACGTCATCCCCGGGGCGCTGGTGCTGCGCCTGTACGCGGCGGGCCGCTCGCCGGCGGGCGGCGCCTGCCACTTCCTGGGAGGCTGCATGGTCTTCTTCGGCCTGTGCCCCCTGCTACTGGGCTGCTGCATGGCCGTGGAGCGCTGCGTGGGCGTCACGCGGCCGCTGCTGCACGCGGCGCGCGTCTCCACCGCCCGCGCGCGCCTGGCGGTGGCCGCGCTGGCCGCCGTGGCTTTGGCGGTGGCGCTGCTGCCCCTGGCGCGCGTGGGCCGCTACGAGCTGCAGTACCCCGGCACGTGGTGCTTCATCGGCCTGCGCCCAGCGCGCGGGTGGCGCCAGGCGCTGCTCGCCAGCCTATTCGCCGGCCTCGGCCTGGCGGCGCTGCTCGCCGCGCTCGTGTGCAACACACTCAGCGGCCTGGCCTTGCTGCGCGCCCGCTGGCGCCGCCGCTCTCGACGCCGTCCTCCTGCATGCGGCCCTGATGGCCGCCGTCTCCGGGGGGCGCGCAAGCCCCGCTCAGCCTCAGCTTCGTCCTCCTCGTCCGTCGCTTCGGTCCCCGGAGGCTCCCCGGGCCGTGGCTCAGCGCGCCGAGCCCGCGCTCACGATGTGGAGATGGTGGGCCAGCTCGTGGGCATCATGGTGGTGTCGTGCATCTGCTGGAGCCCGCTGCTGGTGAGGGGCGCACACGCCCCTCCGGCCAGGCTCCTCCCTGCCCCTCCCACCCCTTTCCCTCCTAGGATACCTGGGTTCTCCCTTCCGCAGCCGGGGTCCCACCCCCTCGAGGCCCCACCTGTCAGGAAAGACCGCCCTTTGGCCTCTCCGTCTGACATCCCACCCCCTCCACCCAGTCCCTTTTCTTACTCCCGCCCGGGGTCTTTGTAGTTCACCCCAGCCAGGCAAGCTTCCTCCCAGCCCCACCCTTCAGACCCGGATGCTTCATTCCCTAGCCCCTTCCACCACCACCCCATCCCGTCTCTCTTCTCCCCTCGGTCCCCAGCCCTTCGGGATCCCTGGGACTTCTCTCATTTTTTCTCGAGCCCCCATTCACTGAAGGCCAATGCTTCTGCCACGTTTTCTTCGCCCCTCTTTCCATAGTTCCTTCTTACGAAGACTTCCATTTCCCCTCCCTGTAAGCCCCTGCTCCCCCTCACAGCTCCCTTACCTTCCGGCCACGCTCCCATCCATCCCAGCCCCACCCTCGGCCAGCCCCCTTCTCTTCCACCTGCCCCACCGCTCACACCGGCTTCTCCCGCAGGTGTTAGTGGTGCTGGCCGTCGGGGGCTGGGGCTCCAGCTCCCTGCAGCGGCCACTATTTTTGGCCGTGCGCCTCGCTTCATGGAACCAGATCCTGGACCCCTGGGTGTACATCCTGCTGCGCCAGGCGGTGCTACGCCAACTGCTTCGCCTCCTGCCCCCGAGGGCCGGCACCAAGGGCAGCCCTGCGGATCTGGGCCTAACCAGGAGCACC